GAGTGGTCCCCTCCCCCGTGAGTTCCCCTTGCTCCTTCTCATTTCCAGCACATCTCCTCTCTGGATATGCCGAGCCTATTTTAATACAGCTGTCCCGAAGCTGTGTTGTATCCATTTCCCTCTGTGTGCTTCTCTTCGCTCGCAGGCCATTGATTTCATAGATGCATGTGCGGCAGGCAGAGGAAATACCCCAAGCACGGGAGTGGTCCCCTCCCCCGTGAGTTCCCCTTGCTCCTTCTCATTTCCAGCACATCTCCTCTCTGGATATGCCGAGCCTATTTTAATACAGCTGTCCCGAAGCTGTGTTGTATCCATTTCCCTCTGTGTGCTTCTCTTCGCTCGCAGGCCATTGATTTCATAGATGCATGTGCGGCAGGCAGAGGAAATACCCCAAGCACGGGCAGTGAATATTCATTGCCATTCCACCAGTCAGAGATAACAGCGGAGCTAATGAGTAATGCAGCCACAAGGGAAGTGGGTTAGGTCACCCCCCCACAAAGAAAGCATAGTCGCTGTTCAAGCACAGTGCTCAGTTCAGCACAGGAAATAGTTTCAATGGTGGGTGTTAATTTTAATGTTGTGTTCAGATCTGACTGTGAAATGATTCCGGGAGGGGGAAGTAATTCAGGATGTCAGCACCTGGCTTCCAGGTAGCAATGTACTTTAGCTATTGGTATGATTGGATAGTATCTCAAAGTATGGGAATGTTTTCTGTATCTTGCACAATGGCAGCATTGTATAGCACTCATTTTATACATTTTTGTCTCTCAGTCTTGGAAGACAATGGAATTAATATGTAGGGTTTAGTTCTCCCTCATTTTACATCATTAATATAAATATTCATAGGCCACAAGAACTGAAATTTACATATGCAGCATTTCCCAAGATATATGTGCAACTCTGCATACACATAATTATCAGTGGTGACACCAAATTATATGCGAATCATCTAAAATTATGCATAGTTTCCCAGATGAATGCTTATATTGGAATTAATCCATATAAATTATTACCATAGAATATTTTTATCTTCTTAACTATTTAAATTTTGTATATACATTCAGAACCAGAGATAACACCAGAGGTTTACAAAGATTTAATTGGCAAGAGTTTGAGTTGACTGCCTTACACTCAAGTGATGAATCCAATCATGTTACTTATTTTTCCATACCTGCTAGGTAAATCTTAACATCACAACACTCTATTTTGCATTATTTAACCCACATTTCACAGAAAATCTAGTTATGAAGTATTTCAGAGAATTTCATGGTACTAATTTTATATCTACACCAATAAACACCAGACAGCCTTCGTCATAAAGCTGGTCATACTATTCACTGGAAATAATTGGGTCTTTTGTTTGGTTTCTGATTCTTTTAGGAACCATTCCTTAGTTCTGTAAATGACTTTAAATATTTGATGAGTAACTGGGATGAAATCCAAAAGTAGATTGTAAATCTTCAGCTATTCACAGTTTGCTGTAATTTGGGGATGTTTAATTGATCACCTAAGTCACATGATATTGGTTCTGTTCCCTGAGTGGACAAGCAAAACTTTTTTAAAACTAGAAGAACAATAACAAATGAGGAACAGTGAATACTCTTGATTGCACAGAAATAGGCAGATTTCCTCTAGCAGAAAATTGGGTTTCTGTGATGAAACATTCAATAATCTGAACCAACTGGGTTTCTCTGTTATTTGGAATCGGTAGATCAGTGTTTCCCAAATGGTGTTCCATGGAATGCTGAGGCTCTGCAAAGTGAAAATAAGGGTTCTGTGAGAAAATTCCATTACAATAACATGTTATGATTTTTTAAAATAATAATTAATATTTAAGCATCTATGAATTTTATCAAAAACAATTTTCTTTGTGTTCGCTTCAGATGGCCAATTAATACAAAATGTAAAGAAGTTTCTCTGATTACATTTTGGGATGGCTTATGTCAAGAATATTCAGCGTTATCAAGACATGCAATTCATCAGTTGTTACCCTTCACCAGCACATACTTGTGCAAAACTGGGTTCTCGAATTACGCAACAACAAAAATGAAATACAGAAATCGACTGAATGCTGTGCTAGATATGCAAATCCAACGTTCCAGTATTAAACCAAATATACAAAGAATTTGCCAAGAAAAGAAAAACCACTCTTCACATTGAAAACTGCCAATATAATGCATATTAGTTGAGCTTTATTTTTTGTACACGTTAACTGTGATTTTTGTTTTTAAATATGTGCAATTAAACTAAATGTTGTTCTAATGACCTTGTTTAGCATTTGTTTATTATTTATCCTTACTTATTTGTGGTTTACTTTTTCAGATCCATATATAAGACTGTTATTAGGGGCTCCACAAAATGTTTTTGAGTTTAAAAGGGTTCCATGGCCAAATAAAATTGGGAAATAATGCAGTAGGCAGAGTGACTAAACATGAGTTTTTTATCCCCTTGAGCTGCATGCACTCTGATGCCTATACCTCACACTCCCTTTCAGTTGGTATACTGTGTAACTTCTCAAACATGAGATTTTTATCCCCTTAAGCTTCATGCACTCTGATGTCTATACCTCACACTCTCTTTCAGTTGGTATACTGTGTAACTTCTGAACATATTTGTGAAAAGGTGTTATTAGGTCCAGCAACAGAACTATCAAAAATCAACTCTGGCTTTGCTTGTTAAAACAAATCAACTAGTTAATTAACTACACCAATAGCTAACTGCCTCAGGATGAAACTGAAGATACATGAAAGAAAGCATAGGAGCCAGTCCACATCTACAGAGGAAGTGTCAATGTGTGGAAATTAATTAATAATTATTAATAATTAATATAGAATGCCAGTGATTGGTTTTGCTATACAGGCTTACCAAACAGCAGAGCGAAAGTCAGTCAGGCCAGAGTCCAGACTGTCAAAGACAAGAAGAGAGAAATCCTTTTGCAAGGACAAATATGGTATTTATATAAAGAATAGCAATTCACCAAACATTCATGTGGACAAAAAACCATTTGTATGAGTGGGCACTAATAAAAAAATGCAAAGGAGCACATGATCAAATTGATCAGCCATTTGGAATTAAAATGCATGGTCAACATATTGTGCACTGTCTTAACCAACTTTACTTAATGTAGTATCCAACTGTATGCACCTCAGAAAGAGAAAACAGTCTAAATAAATGCTATAAATCTTGCAAAGTTATCTAAAATAACATTTGATATCAATAATTGTAAAGGTCCAATAACTAGGAGCCTAGTGTATCAAGTTCTGTATCCCACAATAAAGCAAGGAATGTCTCTTTTCCAGTGCTATATGAGGCCCATTTTCACTTGCAAGACATTGGACTTTAGCCTTGGGAATGAATATTCTCCATATTGCACCTTAGGCCAAGCTAATTTAGGGAAAGTAATTCCACCCTTGTTGGAAAGACAAAGTTTTCATGCCATTTGTTTTAAAGTGTAAGCTTAACAAAAAAGTTTTCATGCCATTTGTTTTAAAGTGTAAGCTTCTGGAAGTTCACAGTAGCTTGGCATGTCAGACCGTGTCTCATATTCTATACCACCTGGTGTTCTGAAGCATAGATCTCAATTGTGGCTTTTCAGTACTGCCACAAAATAAACAAATGACAGTGTTTAGGTGTGACACTGAAACATATACATTAAAAACAAATATTTATATTCCTACAATTAACCACATACATAGCAGAAATAATCAAATATAGAGTCATTTGATAAATCATCTGTTTCACTAAATAATTAGTCAAATAAATCATAATCTCTAGAGACCATTGGGGAAGAATAATTGTAAGCAGAGAAAATTCCAGTTTCTGCAGTCATTGGCTTAGGTTTTGTACCAATCCTCTGAATACATCAGCTTGTGGTGGAGCCAGGATCTTCAGCCTAACAGGCTACCCAGAATGCTAGAGATCTATGTTATGCTGGCTGTGGCACTCCTGTTAGTAAATCACCCTACATTTCATTCACAAGCTGCTAGGATTAACAAAGCTTTATCCCCTGACTTACAAAAACAGTTTCTTAATGAAGCAGCAATATTGGTTTCCAGCAGGATCAGATGTGCCCTGTGTAATATTTTGTTAATTGAATACAAAGAGTAAAAAAGTAACATACTTCTTTAGAAACAATTATATGGTTTTATAGAGGAAAGCAAAAGTCAGTACAAACTCTACTCTGTTTCTGAAGGTAGCTCAAGCAACCCCTACAAAATAATGGTATGTCAAAGCCTATGTATGTTTGGAGCTCATGGTACTGCAATATGAATGTTAAAAATAAATAATAAAAATATAGATTGGATGGATTTTGGATTAGGTTTGGAGAGTGAGATTGTATGTTTCCTCAGTTTAAATGCCAAACTGAGGTTAATCTGTCTCTAAGAAGCTATAGGCCAGATTCCTTCTCAGATAAATCCAGCTGCTTTGCTCTGTACTGGTATTGCAAAGGTTCTAGAAAGCAACCTGAGTTTTCTTCCAGTGCTGGGATGACCACAGTAGGTTATATAGCTAGCACATGCAGCTCCTATGACACAGCCTCTGACACTCCAATGTAGGTAACATGGGATAGGAAAGATGACATGAATGTGATCAGCATGCAGATGACTTATTGGGAGTC